ACATAGAAACATCTGGGCTATAAACTCAAGGCAGATCGCTGAGCCCAGAGCTCATCCCTTTTGTACCTAGGATTGTTCATGTTAACCAGCAGCAGCCAGACATTGCCTGTGCTGCAAGCTGGGGAGTCTTGGGGACATGGAGCTCACACAGTGGCCTTCGTTCCGTGGCACAGATTGCACCAGTGGGCAATTGAGAAAGACAAATCCAAGTGGCTACGACTATTGAGCAATGAAGGGCACACTCAGTTCCTGGGATTTGGGGGTGTGATGCAAACAATGGGATGCCACCCAGCTGATGGGGCAATAGGACAAAGTGCAATACCCCTCAGCCTCCTTGGCGCTGCATCTCCCCAACCTCTTACCTCACAGGCTGGGGGTGCAGGCTCAAGAGCTGGGCTTATCATCACTGAGGTTGATCTCCTCCAGGATTTGGCTGTACCTCCGCGTGAGGGCTTTGGTGTTCTTGGTCAGGTCTGTCAGAACCTGCTGCAACCCATTGACATGATGGGAGAGCCGCTCCTCCAGGTTACTGTCTACACCCTCATCTTCGGCTGTATCTGCATCCGCATCGGTGCTGCTCGAGCTCTGGTCATTGACAGAGGCCAAGCCCTTCTCCACCATGGGCTTGATGGCCTTGAGCTGCTGGTAGCGCTCGTAGAGGTCCGTGTGGCCATCGGCATCCGGAGCCGCCCCGTCCTGCTGCTGCTGCTGCTGCGGGAAGACCCCTCGGAGCAGGCTGGGGAACATCACCTCCTGCTCCATCCTGTGCGTGGCTGAGAAGTACTGCTCCATGGCCCCGCTCCGGCTGCCCCAGCGCTGCTCCGGGCTCTGCTCCGCTCCCCGGCCCCGCCGCCGCCTCTTTATGCGGGGCCGGGGCACGGCCCCGCTCTGCCGCGCTCCGCTACTGGCCCGGGACCGCTTGGGCCGGGCCGGGCTCGGCTCCAGCCCCGCTGGGGCTCGCCCGCGGCTGCCCCTGCCTCTGGGCAAGCTCCTGGAGCCGCCTCCCCGCGGCCTTCACCCGACCTGGACGCGGCTCCCGCTGCTGCCAGCGCCGGTCCGGCCCCTCCGGCCCCCGCTCCCGGGGTCCCCCGAGCGGGCAGGGAGCGGCAGCTCCGTGGGGATGCTCCTGGGGTTGGGCAGCGCTGAGGGCGGGCACGGGGAGCCGGAGACGGCTTTCAATGGAGAGGGGGATTCCCCCGTGAGCCCTGGCCGGGCACACAGCTCCTGCAGCGCTGCTCGGGGGTCTCTCACTGCCCACCCTTGTGAAGGAGCCTTGAGAACAGCCCCTGCTCAGAGAAGAAGGGGCTCGGGAACCGGGAATGCTTCCTCCTGCTGGTTGTGTCAAGGAGGAAGGTGAGCATCAGCTGCGTTAGACAGAGACAGGGAATTGCAAAAGGGACTTTGAAAGGAAGGGTTCAGGCTGGAGGGAAGCGTGAAAGGTGTCAGCATTAGGGAGGGACATTAGAGGGGCAATGGCAGGAGCCAAAGCCTGTGGCACACAGCCAAAAGCAGCCCTGCAGCATCAAAGGCTCTGCTGGGTCTCTTTGAGCATCCTCCTGTTGGATGCTGTGAGCAGCAGCTCCTGCTCTGACAGCACCGGGCAGGGACAGAGCCTGAGCCAGCACTGGACAGGCTGGAAGCAACCTCTGGAGAGGATCTAGGCCAGCCCCTGATCCAGCAGGGTCAGTGCTGGGACTGCATCTGGTTGGGGTTTGGGTATCTCTGAGGATAAAGACTGCATCACTTCATGGGCAGCCTTTGATGGGGTTTGACCTCCTGCACTGCAAGCAAATAGAAAGCTTCCTCTTGGGTTCCAATGGGATTTCCTGTACTTCAGTTTGTGCCCATCACCTCTTGTGCCATCGCTGGGCATCACTGGGATGAGTCTGGATCCCTCTTCTCCATGTCACCCTTCAGGTCTTTACACAGAGGGATGAGATCCCCCTGAGCCTCCTCCTCTCCATGCCGAACAGCCCCAGCCCTCACGGCCTGCCTGCATATGGCAGATGCTCCAGCTCCTTCATCACCTCCATGGCTCCTCACTGCACGCTCTCCACTCTGCCCATGCCTCTCTTGTACTGAGGGGCCCCAGCCCAGAGCCAGCACCCGTCTGTGTCCCAGCAGGGCTGTGCAGAGGGGCAGGATCCCTCCTTCCTGCTCCTCCCCAGAGCTGGTGACTGTGCCTGCTCGAGGACACCTTCGTGGCCCCTACGGCTTCATGGGGCTGCTCAGAGCAGGCTCTTTGGAATTCCTGATGTAACATTTTGGGTCCAGACTGTGCTTTATCTCTTGTCTCCTGCTGCTGAGCCTGCGTGCCAGGGCCCTGCTTCCTGCTTCACTGCCTGTGGCTGCACAGACAGAACTGAACTGCTGCAATCCTGAGGTGCTGCAGGGATGGGAATGGAAAGTTCATTCCCTGGGGTGGCCACAGAGAGGCTGATCTGCCCCATCTGCCCTCGTCCTGAAGGGACCTGCACTGGGTTTGACGAGGACAAAGACCTTTCTGGGGAGCACCTCCTGTCCCTTATCAGCTACAACAGTCAGTGGTGGCAGCAGCGTGGCCCCACTGGGGCCAGTTGCACCCCGGGGCAGCGTGATGGAACGTCCTGGAAGCGGAGCAGCCACGAATGTCCTGGGAATGAGCGGGGTCAGGGCCAGTTGCCAGGCCCAGCTCAGAGGGAGCCGGGGGTGCTGGGCACTGCAAGTGGTGCAGAAGTCATCCCTGTGCCCATCCAGCTCCTCGGGTCACTGCTCCGGGTTCTGCTGGTGTGTTCTAGAGCTGCCGGGCAGGAGGATGGAGCCAGGAGGGGCTGGGCTCTGCTCCCAAGGAGCAAGGGATGGGACAAGAGGAAACGGCCTCAAGCTGCACCAGGGCAGGTTTAGATGGAGCTGAGGAACAATTCCTGCCCCAGAGGGTGCTCAGGCATTGGAACAGGCTGCCCAGGGCAGGGCTGCAGTCACCGGCCCTGCAAGTGTTCACACAGCGTGGAGACAAGGCCTCAGTGCCATGGGGCAGTGGTGGCCTTGGCAGTGCTGGGAACGGTTGGACTGGATGAGCTTAAAGGGCTTTTCCAACCTGGTTGGTTCTGTGACTCCATGATCCCATTGACCATGTTCAATCTTCTTCAGCACTTCACCAGATGTCCCCATGTGATTCTTCCCTGAGGCCCCACCAGCCTCTCCAGCCACCCAAAGCAAAGCCATTGCTGGAGGTGACCTCAGGCCTTCCTCACTGGGACCAGTGTCTTCTCCAGAGCACACAGGGCCCAGCCCTCGGCTCCAGCCAGGCAGAGCACCAGAGGGACATCACCTCCTCCACGGCCCCCACCTCATGGGGAGCCAATGTCCCTCCATGCTTCATGGTTCAGCCCCTGGCTCTGCCATCAGCGAGGGGATCCAAATGCAGTTTGGAGCCCCCGTGTCCATCTTCCAGCCCCACTGTTCCATGCATGAGCCATTGTGCCCCATCGGGAGGTGGCACTGCCATGGTACAGCCTGGCTCTCTCCCACTCATGTTCTGTTGGCTCTGGATGAGACACGCTGCAGCTTTTCCCAGCCTGAGGCAGAACACAGAGGGCAGATGTGCTCTGCTGTCCTCGCCCTGGCTGCCACCACCTGTGTTTGCCCACGTGTTGAGGGACTGGGTGCTCCGAAGCTGCTTCCGTAGGAAAGCAAGGCTTTTGGGTGGTGCTGCAATGAGATCCCTTGGGTCTCTGTGGCCACAGACCTGGTGTTGGGCAAGACCCCCCCTTATGCAGCATCCTCCCTCCTGAGCCACAGCTGAGGAAGGGGCAAAATGCCCCCACCCGTGTCCCTGGGGGTGCCCCTGCCATCCGCAGCATCTCCTGCTGTACATCTCCCATGTCTCTGAGTGCCCTGAACCCCCCAGCGCCGTCCTTGCCATTGCTTGATCCTGAGCAGGACCCTTTCAGGTGTGCGGCTGCCCTGGGTCCAGTCCCCAGCAGCCCCTTCCAGTGCCCCCGGCCCCTCCCTGGCCCCTCGGCCCCAGGTTGTTGGGGACCCTGCTCCTGCTGCCCCTGCTCACTGAGGACAAGACAGAGCCAACGTGGTCTCCACAGCCAGAAGTGGCCTGAGCAAGGAGAGAGGAGCCGGGAAGCTCCAATGGGACTCGAAGCTTCCTGTCAGGACACGGGGCTGGGCTCCAGGGGCAGTTGCTTTCCACGGGCACCCAGAGCTGCAGCTCTGCTGCCCCTCGGGGACGGTGCCAGGCTCAGCTCCACTCGGGGCAGCTCCAGGCCAGGAATCCTGATGGGCAGGAGAAATGCATGGGGAGCTGTGGGGCAGGGGCAGCAGCTGCAGTGGAGGGACAGCCCTGGGGAGAGCTCTGAAGAGGGCCCGGAACCTGGGGTCTCACTACAGCATGGGTTGATGCCCATATAGTGTGTGCTATGGGCACAGCAGCAGGGTTCCAGAAGGAATTCCTCACTGGGTCCATTGGGAATCACTGCACAGGTTGCCCAGACAAGTTGCACATTCCCCATCCCTGAAGTGCTCCACATCAGGTAGGAGGGGATTTTGAGCAACCTGGACCACTGCACCATGTCCCTGCCTGCGGCAGGGCATTAGGAACCGACTGGTCTTTGGAATTCCCTCCCACCCCACCCCATCCTGTGACTCTGGGATTCTGTGTCCCTTCACATTCCCCAACACTGCATGGGAAGGCCCCTCCCAGCAGAGCCAGTGTCCCCCTGCCCCACAGCAGCTGCCTCCCCAAGGGCTCCACCACAGCAAAGCACCAACACCACCGCCGAGGGCTTCTCAGGGCTCATTTTATTATGAAAGAAGGGGAAAAGCCCCTTGGAGTCCAGGAACCAGCTGGAAAAGGGCTCGGCAGCCGCTCGGAGCTGGGGGCCACCGCTCGACATCGCTGCTTCGTGCTGCTCTTGGCCATAAAGAGCGGGGCACGAGCCCGCGGCTCCTCCATGGACCTGCAGCACCTCCAGAGGCTCCTTCCCAGGGGATGAGGCCGGCTCTGGCTCCGGGGTGGCCGCAGGCGTCGGTGCCAGCGCCGGGAGATCCGCTGCCACGCGTGGGGCTGGGGAAGAGCCGCGATGGGCACGGTGGGGACGTCCTCTCCTTCGTGCCACCAGCACCCGTCCTGCAACGGCAGCCGTGCTGAACCCGAGACCATGCCCGCAGGTGCCTGGGCACCAGCCCTGCTCCATGGACCCTCAACCCCACCGGCTCTGCACAGAGGGATGGGATGGGATGGGATGGGATGGGATGGGATGGGATGGGATGGGATGGGATGAGATGGGATGGGATGGGATGGGTCCCCTCCTGTGGCACGGAGATGGGAACCTGCCGGCAAGGGAGGGCACAGCCCCCACTGCAATGCACTTGCCAGGAGCTCCCAGCCTGCAGTGCTGGGGACCCCTCCGTGCCCATCGGCAGCCCCTGGCCCCGCTGCCCCAGCTCTCAGCATCCCCCAGCTCTCACCTGGTGGCCGGGACAGGGTCACCAGCTGGGCTGCCCCTCGCTGGGGCTGATCTGCTCCAGGATCTGGCTGTACCTCCGCGTGAGGGCATTGGTGTCCCTGGTGAGGTGGGTGAGGACCTGCTGCAGCCCGGCCAGGTGGTGGCACAGCCGCTGCTCCAGCCGCGCATCCCCGCTGCTGCCGGCCTCATCCCAGGACGCGTCCTCGTCGCTGCTGCTCGAGCTGTGGTCATGGACAGAGGCCAGGCCCTTCTCCACCATGGGCTTGATGGCCTTGAGCTGCTGGTAGCGCTCGTAGAGGTCCGTGTGGCCATCGGCATCCGGAGCCGCCCCGTCCTGCTGCTGCTGCTGGTGCTGCTGCGGGAAGACCCCTCGGAGCAGGCTGGGGAACATCACCTCCTGCTCCATCCTGTGCGTGGCTGAGAAGTACTGCTCCATGGCCCCGCTCCGGCTGCCCCAGCGCTGCTCCGGGCTCTGCTCCGCTCCCCGGCCCCGCCGCCGCCTCTTTATGCGGGGCCGGGGCACGGCCCCGCTCTGCCGCGCTCCGCTACTGGCCCGGGACCGCTTGGGCCGGGCCGGGCTCGGCTCCAGCCCCGCTGGGGCTCGCCCGCGGCTGCCACGCTCCCGGGACGTGAACACCGCAGCCTTGAGCAAGCCCGGGCCCGGCCGCCGGCCTTGGAGCAGCCCCAGCGGTTGCAGAAGGGATCAGCGACCCCGCGCCCTTGCCGCCAATAGAACCGTTTCCACCCGCTGCAGGGACGCCTGGGGACAGCAGAGCCGGGCTCTGCACAGCCTGGACCTGCGCCTGCATGGGCCCGGGGGAGCGGCTCCATCCGCACTGCGCCATGGGCCGCTGCGCCGAGTTCCAGCGCTCCCGCTGTCCCTACACGTGCACACGCTGCTGCCGCTCCTTCCCTGCTAGACCCGTCCCCACCGCCCCTCCTCTCCCTCCCTGGGTGTCCCCAGCATCTCCGGGTGTCCTGCCGTGGGTCCCAGTGCTGCACCGGGGTGTGTGGGTGCTGCTTACCCCGTGTCGGTGCCAGCCCGGAGCTTGGCCCTTTCAGGGCCATTTCGGGGCTTGGGGCGCTGCAGAGCTGCTTGGAGGCGCAGGGATATGGCACGGATATCACAGGGCTCCGGGGACAGGGACAAAGGGGGTGCTCTGCACCCCGGCTCCCTTCAGCACCGCCCTCTCAAGCTGCTTGTGGTGCTCTTAGCAGCATGCTGGGGGGCAACTGGGGTTCAGCAGCTCCAGGTCACTGCACAGCTCCGCATCCTTGGGACATGCATCATTCCCAGAGCCTCCCTACACCTCCAGGGATCCCATCAGCCAAAAATGCACACACGCGCACACCATCCTGCTGGGAGTCAGGGGTAGCTGCTGCTGTCAGGAGGAGAGGTTCCTGCGCTGTAGTCCAGAACAGCCACCATGGGGCTGCTCCATGGCTGGGGTCGGGCTGAGCTGAAACGGGGCACCCAGCTCCAGGCACCACTGGGAGATGCACTGAGATCCTCGGGTCTCTGCTCCCATGGACACTGCATTCGGACCAACCTCCCCCTGACCTGCTGCTCTCCTGAGGAGTCTGAGCCCAAACGTGGCTTGTCATGAACAAGATGCCACCGCACACGAGTCCCCGACTGTCCCCGTGTCATCCTCAGGGTACCCCTGAGACCTGCAGGGAGAGGTGGAGGTGACGGGTTGGAGATGTCCCTGTGGGCTGAGGGGCCTCTTGGGCTGGGCAGTCGTGGCACTGAGCCCCCTCCTGCCCCCAGGCAGGGTTGGCTGGGCTGGCTCCTGCCCCTGTGTCCCCGGGGGAAGGACACCTCGCAGCAGAGCTATGACCGGTGGCTGCAGACCAATGCGTCCTGCACGGTGAAGCTCCATGGACACCGTGTTTGGACCAGGCTCTGCCGTGCACCGGGGACGTGAACGCTGCAGGGCATTGAGCAACCCCGCTGTGCAGTGACGGGTGAGGCTGTGCTGTCGCACGGGGTCTGTGTGTGCTCATGGGACACGGGATGGGGCTGTGGTGAGGAGCCGGGGCCGTGATGGAAATCTCCCACAGACATGGCTCTGAGCCACCGCTGCCCATGGGGAGCGTGGACGGTGGCAGCACTGCTCCCAGTGCCCCCATCGTGGGGCAGAGGCCACGGCTGGCGCAATGGCCGTCAGGGGCTGGCTGTGCGTGTCCCCTGTGGCAGTCAGCAATAGCTGTTCTATTTGGGGAAACACCGCAGGGTCCCTTACCCTGTTTGCAACCCTTGGTGCTGGCAGCCCTCCCAGTGTGCCCACATGTCCCAGCTCAGGCTGACCTCTCCCCCCATACCCGTCCCCGCCACGCTTCTGGTCCCTTTCTGGTTGTCCCCAGGGTTTCCATGTGTCCTGGCATGGGGACCAGCGCTGCACTGAGGTGTGTAGGTGCTGCCAGCTCCACGCTCTCAGGGTGTCTGGGTCACCACGGAGCTTCCTGGAGGTGCAGGGGGACATCACAGTGTCCCTCAGCATGGCTGTGGCAGCCATGGTTGCTGGACCTGCCCTGGTGCTGGAGCTTCACCGTGCAGGACGCATTGGTCTGCAGCCACCGGTCATAGCTCTGCTGCGAGGTGTCCTTCCCCCGGGGACACAGGGGCAGGAGCCAGCCCAGCCAACCCTGCCTGGGGGCAGGAGGGGGCTCAGTGCCACGACTGCCCAGCCCAAGAGGCCCCTCAGCCCACAGGGACATCTCCAACCCGTCACCTCCACCTCTCCCTGCAGGTCTCAGGGGTACCCTGAGGATGACACGGGGACAGTCGGGGACTCGTGTGCGGTGGCATCTTCTTCATGACAAGCCACGTTTGGGCTCAGACTCCTCAGGAGAGCAGCAGGTCAGGGGGAAGTTGGTCCGAATGCAGTGTCCATTGGAGCAGAGACCCGAGGATCTCAGTGCATCTCCCAGTGGTGCCTGGAGCTGGGTGCCCCGTTTCAGCTCAGCCCGACCCCAGCCATGGAGCAGCCCCATGGTGGCTGTTCTGGACTACAGCGCAGGAACCTCTCCTCCTGACAGCAGCAGCTACCCCTGACTCCCAGCAGGATGGTGTGCGCGTGTGTGCATTTTTGGCTGATGGGATCCCTGGAGGTGTAGGGAGGCTCTGGGAATGATGCATGTCCCAAGGATGCGGAGCTGTGCAGTGACCTGGAGCTGCTGAACCCCAGTTGCCCCCCAGCATGCTGCTAAGAGCACCACAAGCAACTTGAGAGGGCGGTGCTGAAGGGAGCCGGGGTGCAGAGCACCCCCTTTGTGCCTGTCCCCGGAGCCCTGTGATATCCGTGCCATATCCCTGCGCCTCCAAGCAGCTCTGCAGCGCCCCAAGCCCCGAAATGGCCCTGTGAAAGGGCCAAGCTCCGGGCTGGCACCGACACGGGGTAAGCAGCACCCACACACCCCGGTGCAGCACTGGGACCCACGGCAGGACACCCGGAGATGCTGGGGACACCCAGGGAGGGAGAGGAGGGGCGGTGGGGACGGGTCTAGCAGGGAAGGAGCGGCAGCAGCGTGTGCACGTGTAGGGACAGCGGGAGCGCTGGAACTCGGCGCAGCGGCCCATGGCGCAGTGCGGATGGAGCCGCTCCCCCGGGCCCATGCAGGCGCAGGTCCAGGCTGTGCAGAGCCCGGCTCTGCTGTCCCCAGGCGTCCCTGCAGCGGGTGGAAACGGTTCTATTGGCGGCAAGGGCGCGGGGTCGCTGATCCCTTCTGCAACCGCTGGGGCTGCTCCAAGGCCGGCGGCCGGGCCCGGGCTTGCTCAAGGCTGCGGTGTTCACGTCCCGGGAGCGTGGCAGCCGCGGGCGAGCCCCAGCGGGGCTGGAGCCGAGCCCGGCCCGGCCCAAGCGGTCCCGGGCCAGTAGCGGAGCGCGGCAGAGCGGGGCCGTGCCCCGGCCCCGCATAAAGAGGCGGCGGCGGGGCCGGGGAGCGGAGCAGAGCCCGGAGCAGCGCTGGGGCAGCCGGAGCGGGGCCATGGAGCAGTACTTCTCAGCCACGCACAGGATGGAGCAGGAGGTGATGTTCCCCAGCCTGCTCCGAGGGGTCTTCCCGCAGCAGCACCAGCAGCGGCAGCAGCAGCAGGACGGGGCGGCTCCGGATGCCGATGGCCACACGGACCTCTACGAGCGCTACCAGCAGCTCAAGGCCATCAAGCCCATGGTGGAGAAGGGCCTGGCCTCTGTCCATGACCACAGCTCGAGCAGCAGCGATGAGGACGCGTCCTGGGATGAGGCCGGCAGCAGCGGGGACGCGCGGCTGGAGCAGCGGCTGTGCCACCACCTGGCCGGGCTGCAGCAGGTCCTCACCCACCTCACCAGGGACACCAATGCCCTCACGCGGAGGTACAGCCAGATCCTGGAGCAGATCAGCCCCAGCGAGGGGCAGCCCAGCTGGTGACCCTGCCCCGGCCACCAGGTGAGAGCTGGGGGATGCTGAGAGCTGGGGCAGCGGGGCCAGGGGCTGCCGATGGGCACGGAGGGGTCCCCAGCACTGCAGGCTGGGAGCTCCTGGCAAGTGCATTGCAGTGGGGGCTGTGCCCTCCCTTGCCGGCAGGTTCCCATCTCCGTGCCACAGGAGGGGACCCATCCCATCCCATCCCATCCCATCCCATCCCATCCCATCCCATCCCATCCCATCCCATCCCTCTGTGCAGAGCCGGTGGGGTTGAGGGTCCATGGAGCAGGGCTGGTGCCCAGGCACCTGCGGGCATGGTCTCGGGTTCAGCACGGCTGCCGTTGCAGGACGGGTGCTGGTGGCACGAAGGAGAGGACGTCCCCACCGTGCCCATCGCGGCTCTTCCCCAGCCCCACGCGTGGCAGCGGATCTCCCGGCGCTGGCACCGACGCCTGCGGCCACCCCGGAGCCAGAGCCGGCCTCATCCCCTGGGAAGGAGCCTCTGGAGGTGCTGCAGGTCCATGGAGGAGCCGCGGGCTCGTGCCCCGCTCTTTATGGCCAAGAGCAGCACGAAGCAGCGATGTCGAGCGGTGGCCCCCAGCTCCGAGCGGCTGCCGAGCCCTTTTCCAGCTGGTTCCTGGACTCCAAGGGGCTTTTCCCCTTCTTTCATAATAAAATGAGCCCTGAGAAGCCCTCGGGGGTGGTGTTGGTGCTTTGCTGTGGTGGAGCCCTTGGGGAGGCAGCTGCTGTGGGGCAGGGGGACACTGGCTCTGCTGGGAGGGGCCTTCCCATGCAGTGTTGGGGAATGTGAAGGGACACAGAATCCCAGAGGATGGGGTGGGATGGGAGGGAATTCCAAAGACCATTCGGTTCCTAATGCCCTGCTGCAGGCAGGGACATGGTGCAGTGGTCCAGGTTGCTCAAAATCCCCTCCTACCTGATGTGGAGCACTTCAGGGATGGGGAATGTGCAACTTGTCTGGGCAACCTGTGCAGTGATTCCCAATGGACCCAGTGAGGAATTCCTTCTGGAACCCTGCTGCTGTGCCCATAGCACACACTATATGGGCATCAACCCATGCTGTAGTGAGACACCAGGTTCCAGG